ATACACCTATCAGGTGCTGCAGAATGGCAACGGTGACACCAGTGAATCAAAACCAATTCAGTGACTGCAATAACAGTCGGTGGGACACAGCGACATCACCTTAGAGCCAGGAGCTGATGTCTCAAAGGAAAGCTCCTTTTTAGAGCTGGCAAAAGCCAGAGAGTTTGTCACATGACCCTCGGTAAAACAAGAAAATATGTTTGTGTTCGGATATTGAGTAGGCTTTCAATTTGATTCAGCTGAGTTTACACAAATTGCCCGGTGTTCTAACAGGGATTCTGTATTTTGATATAAAATACCACTTTGCACTGATGTATATGGTTGGACTCAATGATCTTGAAGTCTTTTCCAACCTAACCAATTCTATGATACTATTTCTTGCCTCTGGAAAAAGATAAATCCTCCTGCACTGCACTTCAGAAAGAGAGTCAGTGTCTTGCTTCAGTACAAAGTTTCCCTGAGAGCCTAAGTCCCCGCTCACTATTTCTGGAAGAGCTGTAACTATTTTACAAGTAAGACTGATTAATTTTGCAGTATAATTTGCAGGTGACATTTACAAGGGAATATTGTGTGGGGATATCTGGGAGGGATATTGTATTCAGACTTTTCCTGCTTGCCTGCCTACCCTCCTGGAACAAACAGCACTGCTTCATTTTCCTTCCGTATTTTACAAAGTTAAAGTAAACACTGTGATCACACTGTTTACTTTAATTTCCTGCAGTGTGCCAGCAAAGCAGCAAATTGGCAGTCAGCAATCAAGAAGCAGCCAGTATTGAAACAGCAGAGCTGCTTAGGAAAGCATCAATGATGCCAACTCATTTTTCCCTGTTTTAAAAATAAAATATTGGCTTCTATGAAGTTTTACTTCCACCTCAATCTTCTCTAAAGGATCTGAAATTTTGTTTGTTTTCTTTAATTTTCTTTTGGAAGAAAGCTGTGATTATGAGCAACACCTAATTTATATGGCCAACTCTTCTCATATAAAGAAATGGATTTACAAAAGTGGCAAATATATGCTATTTATCTGTAAAAAATCCATGGCATTTTTGCACAAGAGGAAGTTAACTTGTCTATAAATCAGTCTTATCTGGATATATTTTTATTTTTATGCCAAGAGCGTTAGCTGTGCTACTTCAATTAGGTGTATAATAATGTGAAGCTAAAGCCTCATGCATTACATTCAGAATACACATCTGGCCAAGAACGGAGTCCTAAAAGGCAAATAGTTATATTTTCAGAGGCCGTTTTCTCTCATCTTAGACTACATAAAGCAAGGAATATAAATACAAAGAGAAGAAATAAGAAGAATGGGATAGTATTTTGTACCTCAGAGGTGTAAAGCTTGACAAGGTGACTCATTTATGGCTTTCTGGAAGATACTGTGCGGAAGGAATTTATTGCTATGTAAGTTATAATTCCAATATATAAAAGAGGCCAGATCCTACAATCAGTTATTCTCCTGAATAGGGGAATTCCTGCACATATTCTTACTGAAGACAATGGAATTATGAAGAGGATTAGCTTTTTGGTAGACTGGCCAAAGTATGCCTTCGGAAAGTCCAAAACATGACCTAATTTAAAGTGGTTGAAATCTTGTGGGAAAGATTGTAACAGGATAATTATTTTAAAAGCCGTGACTTTGACACCAGGAAATTAAATTCATATCTATATGTCTTTATCTATACACAGCAAATCCAATAATCTTGAGCTCTCTGCAGACACTTAGCCAGCTGGCAAAGGGAGCAAAGTAAAAACTAACAAACTCCATTCCTAAGGTATGCTGACATCAGTGATTCATGATTCATCAATAATGGTGCTAGGAAATAAATGTAACAGGGCATTATTGCCTTTTGCAGCACAGTAAACTCAAGGGAAAATGTCTACGTGTATCACATCGAAAAGAGCTAACAAAGAAATAACTTTTAAAAGTATTTAAGAGGTGTTACAAGTAAGTGAAAGTAGAGAAACAAATGTAAACCTTTTAAATACAGTGAGAATGTACCTGTAAATAAAAAGGGACAGTTTTCCAGCTATACAAGCTTAAGAGGGCTAACCTGAAAACTACCATTTTTTGTTGTTCAACATTTTTACAAGGAGAAGGAATTTGAATTGCTTGTTCCAGAATAAACCCTCAAAACAACCACTGTTCTGGTTTAAGTGTCTACCAGGATAAGCACAATGAAGAAGTTGGTTCTACGCTATTACGCGAAATTATTAATGTTGTTGACAGTAATTACGACTCTCACAACCTATCTAAATAACTAAAAGGGCAAATATGTAAACACAACGTGCCATATATGCTCTTTAGAAAATGCCTGTATTAGCACATAATTGATGATCTCCTTGAAGGTGACTGGACTATCATTGTAAAAGCCTAAGATTATTAACTGAAGAAAAATGGGTAGCTCTCTCTAGAACAGCAGATACACCTGCTGCTTTCGTCACACAAAACAGCAAGATCTAATACATCATTAAACAACTGAGGCTTTGCTTTACGTTTTCGTAGCTTTAAAGTATTCATGATAGGGTTTAGCCTATATTTCTAATATTTCTAATCCTTTTTAGAGCCCACGTAATTACAATTCAGGTTACTTGTTTATGCTATTAGAGGACTACTGCACAGTATTAATAATGCACCGTGTAACGTGCTGCCCTAGAGAGATGTTTCTCTTTCAGGGGCAACAGCCACATAGTTCTGATACAAGCTTCGCTGCTTAGCTGGAGGGTAAGTGACTTTGGTGGTTGTTGAGGTATTTTACCAGAGAAAATGTTGGTCTCCTGACATGAAGCTTGCTTCAAACCATTGCCACTTAACTGCAAAGCACCACAAATACATCTAGTAGCTGGTTTGCCTGGGCTGACATTGGAAATTTTATTTTAAAGATTGAGTTTCCAAACACTTAGTGTAATTCTTAATAAACAATTAATTGATTCACAAGATTTGTGAATGTATATTTCACTGTACTGAATTTTCTTTAAATGATCAATAAATGTTTTTATGACTTTTGTATGTATAACTCCTTAAGAAAATACAGGCAAAAAAAGAAAGCAAGAAAAAGATACTGTATGAGAAAAAAAGAACATGGAAGGTAAGATAAATCCATCCTCACACAAATGGATTTAATAACGCCATAATGGGTACATATATAATGGATGGATTTAAGAACATCAGTAATGTCAGTGAACAACAGGTATCTTTACTGTAAATTTAATTGATGATTCATAATCACAACTTTCTAGAAAAGTACAGATAATGTAGTGGATACCAGATCATGGTACATAAGTAAATGCTGGTTTGATTTGTTCCAGGTAGTATTGCTGAAAATTGACTTGGTTTTCTTCTTTCTCTGCATTATTCACAAGCGTAGGCCCTTGACTCTGCAAACATAATGTGCACTTAACTTTCAAATCAACCAGCTTACTCATGGTAGTAAAATTGAATTAGTGCAAATACAATACTAGTGTGGTGAAGGCCATTCCTTCTTATTTTCATTTGACCAGCTCAATAGACAAATAATGATTGACCTATATTTTGGGCAAGGTTAGCATTAAATTCAAGAAATATGTTTAATGACTACATGACATGTGATGCAAAGAAGAGGCTGAGAGAACAGTGTTTGTTCAGGCTTAAGAAGAGAAGGCAAAGGGGAAATCATATTGCTGTCTACAGCTACCGAATGGGGGGTCACGGGGGTTTATAGAGGAGATGACGCTAAGCTATTATTAGAAATGTACAGCGGTAAGTGCACATGAGAGGCAAAAGTTGCAAGCTGCAGCAAGAGAAACTGCAACTAGATATGAGAAAAAAGTTTTCAAAATTATGGTAGTCAGACACTGGAACAGGGGCCTAGAGAGGTGTGCAATTTTCATCCTTGGAGATACTCAACACTCAGCTGGACAAGGCCCTGAGCAATCTTCTCGAAGTTGGACCCGCTCCAAGTAGGGAGCTGAACCAGATGACCTCCAGAGGTCTCTTCCAAACTAAATTATTCTACAATTTTTGTTATTCCTTATTGTTTATTATTTTAGCCAGCTATATTTCTCTCTAAGCATTCCCAGCTTATAAAAGGTTAGGCAGCTTTCTTTGGAAAAAGGTCTTTGCATTCTAAAACAAGAATACTTCCAAGTACACCATGGCAAATGAGCTATAAAAATCCAAACTAAAGGTGGGCCGCTTACCTGTGCTCATACCAAACCGAAGTGCCTCTGTTACTGCTAAGTTTCCCAAGATGCATGAAACACAAAACCTGACCAAATGGATGGTTAATATTCATAACTACTTCTCTGGACACGGAAAACTGACAAGATTCATATGGGTTTCAGCCTGCCTGCAGTTGGGAATAGCTATATCTAACAGTGGAAATAAGTACTAGAGCTATTCATAGCGGAGGACAACTCAAAAATGAAAGCAGGGAAAACATCCTTTTCGTTGGATGGAAGATAGAGCCATCCATAGGTAGACCCCTCTGTAGGATTTCTGGCATATTTCCCTTGCAAGCAGCTGTAGTGGAAAAATTAATATTGGCCTCACACGTGGGCATGTCTCTGTGGCACACACACCTCCTCAGTCTTCTAGAGTGGCCCAGGAGCTGTATTATTTGATCATGATCAGCTGCTGGGAAGAGTGGCCTAGCGGTATGTGTGTGTGGATGAGATGTGAGGGCTGTAAAGTAGCAGTCATGCCAACTCCAAGCTTCAGAAGTCCAGAGTCACAAGGGAAATTGCTGAAGCTAAATCAGAGTAGATACATCAGCATCTCTCATGGAAAAGGAAAGCTGGAAAACAGGTCATACTCAACTGAGATGCACGATATGCTATATTAAAATACTAGGCTGAGAGTAAGTTGTAGAATTTCTCAGAAACTGCTAAAGTTTTTGGCTTTGAGAACATGTTACTGTAAGGTGTTGTGACATAAAGTTTAATCCTTGAGCTAATGGGCTCTTGAGTAAGTTTTTCAAGCAAGCACATAACAGAAATGCATATAGGTAAAATCTGTTTACCGTAACAGAATGTTATGCCGTTTCCCGTATATCCTTGGGAGCAATAGCAGCCTGTTGTCCCACCCTGAACTTGACACCTGGCGTCTTTGTGGCATGTCATGTTGCAGCTTGCAGAAGTGCAACCATAGTCCAGCAGACTGGAAATCAGAACTGGAACAAAGGAAAAACAGACTTGATTCTTCATCTCAAAACTTCATTCCGAGCTCTAAAACCAGATCTGAGCAAAAAGCATCCACAAAATTGGTATATTCCAGTAAACTTAACATCGCCACAGATTCAGCTATATTGCAGGATGGGTCAAGGTCCATCAACTACAGGGACTTCTTTGGTAAAACTACCAGAAAGAGCAGACACTGTAGATTAAGAACTTGTATATGTGCTCAACTAGTATAGAATTGGTAAACAATGTAGAAGTTACTCAGTGATCCGGGGAAAACATTTGAAAGGCTTTCAAAGCTCTCTAGTACTTTCCAGTAAAGCACAGACACTTATTTGCACTCTGAATTATGTATTGAGTGTAATCCAAACTGCCCTACACAGATCAAGTGAAAAATACCAGAGGGTTCCCCTGATCAGAGTTTTTATTTTTAAAAGCACTTCCATACTTGTGTAGCTAACACATATGCATGGTCTGAGAGATTAAAATGACATGTCACAGTATTTATAGCATTATGACATCAGGGTTTAAAGCCTTATCCAAATTATTTGAAGTTAATATCTTAAAATACCGTTTCCATGTTATGAAAGTATTTTCTTCTTTTTCCCATCCACTGAATGATTCCTAAATGGTATAACTACTTTCCCATTGTATGTATGCATATGGTTTTCAACACAAAGACAAAAGGAATCTCTCCCTTTGAGAAAACTAACAGCTCACTGAATAATTATACACACCCTGTAATAAGTTGGAAATGAGACAGTTAGCTCAGAAGGGAAAGTAAGTTTTTTACTTTGTACTTTATAAATTATTAGCAGGACATAAGGAAAGATGTAGAACACATAAGACCCTTTTGGAAACTGTCTTCCCCTGCAGTTCTCCTTTTCCCTACCCAAATATTATTCTGGATATTTTCTAGCTTAGTGTTACAGTTACAGGTTTCATTGCTTCAGGAAATCTCACTGAGGCATTGTTTTCTTGGACAAGTTAAAATTTCATGAAAAATTCAAAAGACTAAAAATCACATACACTTTTTAACAATTATATATAATCCAAAACAATTTAGGTATCAAGTTTCATCTTTTCCTTCTGTTTTTGAGAGATACCATCTTCTAGAGCTTACAGCAGAAACCTGTGGGATTCTGTTGTCATTTTACTGTTCATAAAATGTGAAATCTAAAAATCTCCCATGCAGATGGAGAGAGAGAAAAAAAACCCAAACCCAAACCCACGGAAACCCACATTGTTTCTGTTTTTTACAGAACAAAACCCACAGTGAGATAAAGACAGGCATTTGTGGGATTTGGTTTTGGGATGATCCTAGCCATGCAATTACCGAATCCAGTAGCAGCATTGATCAAAGCTATGGGGACATTCAGTCCCACGTACCCAGCAGCTTTCCACCATCTCCAACACACTCATTTCTCCTTGTCAGACCCCACTCCCTTCCCACCTGCCACTCAGTCCCGGGGAAGGAGATTTCACCTACCTAGGAATGGAAGCAGTTTCATTGGTGATGCTGTTGCTGTGTGGTGCCTGGTGCAGAGCCCCTGTGTCACAGAAAAAACCTCCCTGCCTTAAAATGTATGACCATGTGCAAAATACGCACACATGCCTATCAGGAAAGCGACGTCCTGGTGCAGGCGTAGCCCTGACACTGCCCTTTGTCCTGAGCTTCACGTTTCCAAAAGCTCCTGAGACTCGCAGGCAGGACAGGGAGGGTCAAGAGGGGCTGGGGACCTGGTCTTCTGGCAAGTAGGGAATAAATGAGAAGGGATTAAATGAGAAAGCAAAAGAGAAGCAGGAGCCTGGGTCTTGCAGGGGGTATCAGAGAAGATGCAGGGGTGAGTGGGTTAGAGAAGCATGGGCTAAAGGAGCTGCTCGGGAGAGTGCCTGGGGCGGGGGGGGAGGATGAAGATCCAAGGGGTGAGCCGCAGCCCGCTGGCAGAAGGAGTGAAGGAGCAACAGAAGGATGGATGGTGGAGCAGATCAGGGAGGGTGAGGAAGAGGTGGAGGAGATTAGTAACTAGCTCAGGGTTTACGAGCTCGGAGGTTAGCGGTCTACATGCTTCCTTCCACCTTTTCCTGGTGAGCTGAGTATACGTGAGCCCCAAGACCCGTGTTTTTGGAGACAATCTTGGCTGACTGCAATCGTTCTTTCCACTGCTTTCTTCAGTTTTGAGATAGATCCTTACCGCAGCCAAGCACTGTTGCTTTAAGGGTAATGGCCTGTGAGGAGGTACAGGAAATCCACTGAACTCTGCTTTGTGAGGAAAACAAAGACGTATAGGCAGGGAGGAAAGAGGCAGGAAGGCAATTGTATGGCCGGGAATCTCAGGAGCCAAAGGAGCCGAAGTTTCTATGGGTTTGTGGGACCGTAACAGGGTGTTGTGTAGTAGGACATATTCAATATAGCCAGTTTGCTAAAGTGTTTGGCATGTCTTTGGGTTAAACATGAGAGCAGTTGTATCCTTGTTACAGCATCCGAATCGACGAGACTTCAGCATGTACTTATATTATACATGGACATGGCAGTATTGTCTCTAATCTTGTTACGGATGATGCGCATACCATCATTTCCCAGCTTCCTGGAGATGATGACTCACGTATTGAAACATTATAAAACTGAGGCATTGATGTATGCCTGTCTTTATAGATGGAAACAGAGGGACATGCACAAACAGGCATGCTGCTGGAAAAGTGGAGAATATCTCTAAACTAAATAAAATGGACACGAGGCTGTGGAATGTCACTGTGACAAAATATCTCCTGTCTGACTAGAAAGTTTTGGAGCTGGGACTTTGGTAGGGAACTGATGGGAAGGCATCAGCTTGCTCTTAGAAATTATCTGTGGATGTCGAAACATTTTTTCTAACCTTGTTAAGAACTATTTGCTCACCATTTTCTAGCTTCATGGTCGCTGTGGGCTGGAGTTCAACGGGTTAAACTCTACTCAGGCCAGGGAGGTGCGAGACATGTAGACATAGCACGTAGGTGTCTGGTTGGCACAAAGTACTTCTGTAGCACCTTGGCAACGAGAGAGGAAGCTCCAGTAACCGGATGTTAATTTTCGATGAACCACAGAGTAATGAACAAAGGGTCCAGGTGTAGGAAGACTGTTTTTCTCCTGTTTGATTTTGTGAGGGGGGGGAGGACTTAAAGGGGAAGAGAGGAAGGGACTAGGAGTTAGTTTGTTTTAAGTTTTCCCGTAATCTAATGCACAGAGACATAAAGGAACAGAAAGTCACATGAACTGAGGGGAGCTTTGATCTGCACATCCTGTCCTTCGTGCTGACATGCGCTGTATTGTAAGCTTGGCTTGTCTGAACGAACTTACAGATCCTGCTGCTGAATTTCAGCTGACTACTAAGGGCTTGGTTTGGAAAGCCTATAATGCAGAAATTATATCTTATTGCTCTGTGTCTTTTTACTCCCCAAAATCAAGCTAAGAGAGGTTTTAGTAGTAAGCGAGTGGAGAGAGTGGAGTCACAACATAAAATTCAGGTCTTAAGAGCTGGAAACATATTTTTGAAAAGTCAGAGATGTACATTTCAACTTTGTCTAGACATCAGCTTTCTGCAACGAGTGTTTGGATAGACTGGTTGGAGAGCAATTTCATGAATCATAGTGATAGTAAATTTATAGTAAAAACTTTAATTCCTTTTCTGATTCAAGGCCTAAGGACACAGGAGAAATTGTGGATGACTCAGAAAAAAAACCATAATCTCACTATAAGAAGACAAATGCCTCCTTTCCTTTTTGGTAGAAAAGCACATGATAACTTGCTTTTTAGTAGTCAATGGTTCAAACCTATCAAGGGGCTATGCCAATCAGATCAGGATACTTTCCATCCAGAATAGTGTAGCTGAACTACTCCACTCACAGGTATAGTGGACAACATCGAAGGCAGCGCATAGGTCTAATTGGCAAATGGTTTACATTGTGACAGGCAATGGGTGAGGAGGGAACACATAAAGAAGAAAGATGTGGAAGAACAGAGCAAGGACAGAAGAAGGAAGGTTAGGTCAAGAGGAACTCTGGGTGATAAAAGGAGCTTCGATCAGATTTAGAAGGCAATAGGGAGACAGTGAAGAAGAGGGATTTAGGAATATCTTAATGAGATCTCAATACTGGGAGCAGTGGATTACTTTTGCATTAGACTACTTTAAAAACTGGCTAATGTGAGTGTCAGTTAGAGGCTGAAGACAGCCAGGTCGCAGTAGGCATGGATGTGGAGAAGGATGGACTTGCAAAGATTTTATGGGGAGAATGAAGAGGAAAGGGGAGATTTCTGAGACATTTTGGAGATTAAACCAGGAGGATTTATTGATAATATCTATTGGCATATAGGGATAAGGAGTCAGACAAGTGGAGATGAGCAGGTGAACACATGAGAAAGAAGACACTTTCAAATTTGTGCTGTCAAAATTTTCAAAATATGCTGAGAAAAAAGTATTGAGGTGTCATAAAACTGAAGTATTGATGGGTGCCTGTCTTTATAGGCAGGGATGAGGGGCATGCACAAACATGCATATTCTTGGAAGACTGGAGAATATGTCTGAACTAAATAAAAAGAGTACAAGAATGTGGAATGTCAGGACTGCAGAATCCATCACTGTTTGCCTCGAAATAAAGAAGCATTAAAAAGAAATAGTTTGTGGAAACACTTCAAAAGACAACCTTGCCATTCTTACACATGGGAAGCAAAACCCTAATTCTATACTTAAGTGTGTTGTTCATTTTATAAATGGGCTCATTTATCTTTGCAAGACTGAGTTAGGAGAGCATAAGTAAATGAATATACACAGGTTAACATGTTTGACTTCAAACCACACATTTTTGGTTACTGATCACTGTGATTACAATATCTTATGTGTGACTGTAAAATTCTCAAGTTGGTTTCTTTGCTGGTGAACTGATAGGAAGACATCAGCCTGCTCTTAGAAATTACTGGTTATTTTCCAAGCTTGGCATCGTGAAAAAGTGTATTTATTCACAGTGGTTTTAAAGGTAATTGGGATGCTGATCGTGCAGACAATGCTATGAAACTAACACCCACAGCTGATGAGGGAGGGAAGTTAACACTTCCTAGAGCTCAGTCTTTGGTAGCTTTCAAAAGATAAATATAGATAAATATAGAACAACTGCTTTCATTCCAGAAACTGCCTATAGTACCAACAAAGGAACAAAAACTGAACAGAGCTAGCATTAGGTGTTTTTCCTTTAAATTAACATAAGCATGATCTACAGTATTAAAGATATTTATTCTTTTGGTGTGATATATACCAAAGAGTCTCATCACATTTGCAGTTTTATATTACAGTGAGGAAAAACAAGTGTGGTATATCAGGATATATATATTTCTTTCTCAAATTACAAGTTAAATGTGCCAGTAGATACTTAGCAAGAGCCAAAAGATGTCGCCTGATGGGCATCTTACACATGTATCTGCCATAGGTTGTGGACCCCACTTTCAGGCCACTGTGGATCGTCCCGAGAGGGGATGGTGAGAGTGTGTATCAGACTGAGTGATCCTGAACGCTCCAGGTAGAGTTCACACATCTTTAGCCTCCTTGCTGTTGAGTTCCACATATATTCAGCATCCTCAGACTCTGGTATCTAACCCATCCACAGTGTGCTCCAATATAATCCACTCTGCATGTGCAGAAAAGCCACATGTGCATGCACACACACATTTATCTCTATCACATAAGCACATAAATATATCTATTACTGAATTGGGCTGATAAATATTTAATGCCAATAATTAAAAAAGGATCATGATCTTTCCTTTCAGCCTTTGCATTTTTTGACAAATGACTGTTCACTTGAATCACCAAGTTGGCTGCCAAAAGGAAAATGGGATGTAAAACAGACTGAGGATGCACAAATGCCTTGGATAAAGATTTTTCTCTGATGCTTGCTGTTTTTTTTAAATATCAAATTAATTTATTGGTTTCAAACCAAATCCTATCACTTCAAGAATTTGGATGGTCTTTATACTACTTCAGAAATGTTTCATTTATCCTAGTCACTAGAGCAATTATAGGTTTTTTTCTAGTCAATAAAATCTGGATACAATTGAAAATGTACTTAAATGTCAGATCAAAATAATGAATTTCCATGGTTGGTTAAAATTATTTTCAAATAAAAAAATCCAGGGAAAACATTTTCCAAACACCGACTACTCTATCATAGAGGAGCCTACCTCAGAGGACTCTATCCCAAAAGTAGTGTTAGCATCTGTTTTATAACTGCCTCACCTTTCTGTCTGAGTGCCTCACGAATCCTTATTGTTTTATGTGCAAACATCATATTCCATCTGAGCATACAGGGCTGAATATATCTCTTGGGATGATGTAACTCTAGGCAATTCTGAAGCAATAAACACACAAACACACATAAACTTATGCAGGCACACATCCTACTAAATCTGCGTAGCTATGTCCATCTGAAAGAAATTGCACATTTCAGTGTTCAGAGCCAGTTTCTTTCTGCTCTTTGCTTTACCTTGGATGAAGTCATGAAATGAGGGAATTTAAAGTGAATGCAATGTTTCTGAAAGCCAGATTAACTACCCTGAAATTGGGCTCTGTTTCCGCATCTGCTATAATACAGAAGAGATGTATGGACTGAGTATAAAGATCCTCACAGCTAAAAGGGATAAAGTAATTCAGTTTCCATGTCTGTTTATGTTCTTCTGGGACTGGCCATGCTATGGTAGTGCTAATGATAGTCACATCTCTGCAGGAGGAATAGAGTGAACCCCATGAATAATTACACCAATGAAATGCCAGATTACCAGTTGCTTTTAATCCACACTCATTTTATGCCAGACCATTAGACGTGAAGGGCTCTTACAGTGCAGTGCTAATATGTTAACTACCAGATAACCAGAGTAGCTCCTAGAAGAGCACAATTATGTCTTCTTTCTTCTACTTACATGGGAGAAGAGTTCTGACACTTCTCGTTCGTTTATCATACAGTCTTAGACTTGAAGTAGTGGCAGTCACTGTCCT